TTCAGAGGAGATGATGTGATGCTTTCCCAGTGATAAGGAGCATGTGGACCTCTCTTTGGTTCCCAAGAACACATATAAGTGCTGAAGGCAAACACCTCAGGACTCCTATCATGACTGTAGTAAGATGGTAGGCACAGCTAGGCAACAAGTTTGAAGTTCCTGGACCAGCTAGCCAGCTCTGAGCAGAGGATGACTTGAGACCCTGCCCCGAGAAAGGGAGAAGTTGCAGACCAACACCTGAGCATCCAGTAGCCTCCACAAAGGCCACTGGCATGTATTGTGTACAGTGTGTCTCTATTTGCCCTTCTCTCTCTCTTTTATCTTACCCTCATGCACACATATACAGACTAAAATGAATGAGAAGGAGCAGAGATTCCCAGGGAGAGCTTTTAATGGCCTGTTGTCACTCAGGGGGTCCACGGAATGACAGTGTCTTCAAGAATGTAATTAATCCCTGGATCCAGGTCTGTCTAGCTGGAAATCTGTAGCGTTAAAAGGCCTAAACTACCATTTGTTCTTTGTGTGGTCAGGGGAATGCACCCCTATTGTTTCATGGCTTCATATATATGCCAGGAATGTGCCATTACAATCCAGTATATTCCTTGATGTTAACATCCTCTCTCATCTTTAATTGTGTGTGTGTGTGTGTGTGTGTGTGTGTGTGTGTGTTGGTGTTGGTATGTGTTTATGTGCACACGTGCATGTTCCCTGATTAGCATGGAAAGGGGCACTTGGCCATGTCAGAAGACAAGATGTGGGTGTCAGTTTTCCATATAATAGTTTTATTACAATAAAGTATTATTTCATTAACATTTCCTCTTTTTTTATTATTCCAGTTCTTTAAAAAAAATTCTTCTCTGGTACTTTATACTTTGAAGGCAGCCTTTCTCCTCTCCTCTCCTCCCATTCTGCCCCCTCCCACTTCCTCTCTTCCCCAGATCCACTGTTCCTCCTTTGCCTTCAGAAAAGTACAGGTTTCCTAGGATATCAACCTAAAATGTCATCTTAAGATGTAATAAGACCAGGCACAATTCCCATATCAAGGCTGGGCGAGGCAAAGTAAGACCAGTGGGAGGAAAAGGGTCCCAAGAGCAATTAAGAGTCAGATATAGCTTGAAAATACTTTTGACTTTTAGATCTATATTCTGGAATTTTACTCTCAATCTGTTTCTTTCCATATTTTGTATATGATTTTATTTTCTGTAATAAAATTGTATGCTTGTTACTCTAATGAAGGTTTGTTTTACTTTTGTGGTTCTGAGTTCCTCAAAGATGATTTTTATATCTTTAGTTTTCATTTGTCATGTGAATTTACACTAATATTTTATTTTATTTTTCTTAATTATAAACGCCCAGCCTTGGCTTGGCTTGTTTCTTGCCAGATTTTTTCTTTTTTTATTATTAAGAAATTTTCTATTCATTTTACATACCAACTAGAGATAACCCTCTCCTCCCTCCTTTCACCCCAGGACCTCCGCCCCTCAACACACCCCCATTCCCACATCCTCCAAGGCAAGGTCTTCCTTGGGGACTCAGCAGATCCTGGTACATTCAGTTGGGGCAGGTCCAAGCTCCTCCCCCTTGCATCAAGGCTGTGTAAGGTGTCCTACGATAGGCTCTGGGCTCCAAAAAGCCCACTCATGCACCAGGAATAGATCCCAATCCTATTGCGTGGGGGGCCCTAAACAGTTCAAGCTAAAAACTATCTCACCTATCCAGAGAGTCTATTCCAGTCCCATGGGAACTCCTCAGCTAATGGTGCACAGTTCATGAGTTTCCACTAGTTTGGCTGGCCATCTCTGTATGCTTTCCCATCATACTCTCAATGTCTCCTGCTCATAGAATCCATCCCCTCTCTCATTGATTGGACTTCTGGAGCTGGGCCTGGTGCCTGGCTGTGGATTTCTGTATCTGCTTCCATCAGTTACTGGATGAAGGCTCTAGGATGCCAGTTAGGCTAATCACTAATCTGATTATCGGAATAGGCCAGGTCAGGCAATCTCTCCACTATTGCCAGTAGTCTAAGGTGGGGTCATCCTTGTGGATTCCTGGGAACTTCCCTAGCACTTCTCCATATTACCATGGTGTCTTCCTTTATCATGGTATCTCTTTCCTTGCTCTCCCACTCTGTCCCTGTTCCAACTTGAACCTCCCATTCCCATAGGTTCTCATCCCACATCCCTTGCCTGTCATTAACCCAACACCCCCAGTTTGCTCATCTCATCTATTTCTCCTTCACTGGGCGATCTATTCTACCCTCTTAGGGCCCTCCTTGTTAGCT